GAACAATTTTTTTTTCTTAAATCAGTTATCATTGTTCTAAAGTAACTCATTGAAAATTTTCAGTAAAATACTTATTAAGTTTATAATGTAGTTAAAAGATTATTGACAATAAAATAAGAGTGCTGAATACCAGTAGGGAATGTATWTWATTTATTGGTTTCCAAATCRTACCTGAATTTAGCACTATGGTGCTCAAATCAAGTGGGATATGTAAATACGCTGACGGGAGCCGTTTGAAGATTGACCTTTTTGAAAAATGGGAGCCGTTGAGAGAATAGGCCGAATGGGCAACCACCTTTTAAGATTTAAACAATATTGTTTAAACGTTGAGGTGGCAATTCAAAGATATTTTTAAATAGCTGATTCGTGCGATGTTCCTAAATTATTAATTTATGTTTTTTTTTTCAGTAAATTATCTTTATTTATAAATGCACGAGTAGTACTCGTCGAGTACACGACGTCATTAAATTAGTTACCTAATTATGATATTCTTAATAGTTGATACTTGAGTCATTAACGACAAATACGTTATAACTACTATTGAGCATTTAGTATATAGTATATAGTATATAGTATATAGTATATAGTATCTATACACAATAATAATAATAATAATATAATTCATATGATTTGCTGAGGCCTTGACACGGCCTCAAGGGGAACGTGGCATACGTTATCACTTAAATAAATCATATCAATATTATCACAGAGCAATATATTATTATAAAATGCCGATTGGCCATTGCGTTTTTTCCGTTTACATTTCGTAACAAATAGAAATACACATTGCCAATATTCTATCAGATTACGGAAACGGTTCATATTTTAGAGTAAAATACTTCATATCATAAGGAAACGGGTATATTCATCATTTCGTTGCAGTCATTTGGGGCCACGACAATTGGATGCATGCTACATTCAGCAGCGCGTCATTTTGTCGCATATATATTTAAATGCAATTTTAATTTTAATATATTAATGTATTTCAAAATATAATATATTATATCATAATATTAGATAAAATAGATTATGTGCCTAGTCTTTTTTTGGGTAGGTATATTTAATAATATAATATAATATATAATAGGTAATGCTATATTATTTTTATAATTTAGTGGTAGTGGTGTAATGCCTACTTTATCATTTATTTTTATTTTATAATTATATTTTACAAATTATAAAAATGATGTCTTTACAATTTATAAAAAGTCAACGAAGGCATGATCTTTTAATTCATGGTGGTTTTATTCATAAACGAGAAACAACTATTGGTGATAAAATTATTTGGAGATGTAACGAGTCTAAAAATTGTACTAGCCGTGCTCATACAATGCAAGGTAAAATTTAAAATTGTTTAGTATTGGTATTCTAATGGATTATTTATTATATACCTATTTATTAAATAGATAGCGTCATAAAATACAAGGAACTTAACTATGTATAAAATAGGGCAAAAATCGAAGTAAAAAACTATCAATAAAATTAAAGAAAATACGATCACGACAATTTTATTATGCCTACACGAAGTATATTAACAGAGACATCTTCAACGGTAATTAAATATAGTTTTAATATATTTTAGAGGTATAAATTAGGTTAAATTAAATTAAATATATAACAGTGGAATGTTGTTTCATTAGATTGTTTCGTGTGAGTAGTTTTATTGTTTGTTTTCTTATTTTTCACGTTATCGATCGAGACGATAGTGCAATAATATGCTGCGAGCTAGATACACTTATCAGGGTTAACAAACTATTTCAATAATTTTGATTTTGTGATATTTATATTATAAATATTATAATATATTATTATATTATTTTAGTTACCATCTGAAATGGCAGATTAAATGCCGAATCCAAAATGTTTAAAAAATAACAATACATCGGGTTGTATTTTTGAAGTTGTTCCTGCAAATCCACAAACATTAAATTTTGAAATTCCAGATCAATTCTGTTTAATTTTAGACTAAAACAATTTGTTGTTGTACAACAGTAGTGATTGTGGTGTATAAGAAGACTGGATTATATTATTTTCGACTGAGAGAAATTTAAATTTATTAAAATATTCAGAACATTGGTTTTCTGTTGGAACATTTTCATCCTGTCCAAACTTATTTTACCAATTTTAAACCATTCATTCAGTATTTCATAGTGATATAATACCTTAAGTATACTAAACTATACGTATACGTTTTATTATCGGACAAAAAAGTAATAACATATATAAAATTATTTCAAGCATTTGGATACACTTCATACATTTAAAAATTGAATGGCAGATGGAACATTTCGAGCAGTTCCGAAATTATTTTCTCAATTGTATACAAAGCAGAACGACCAATTCATATAACGAAATGTTACAAAATATGCTAAAACATAATAACCCGAATTTAAACCATTATTCTATCATAATAGATTTTGACAAAGCATTTTTAAAACAAGCTTTACAAGAGGTATTGTATATTTGTATCATACAAATTTAAAATATTGAATATAATAAATTATATTTAAAATTAAATATATATATTTTACAGGTTCGGTTAGAAAAATTAATTTCTGGAGAGCCTAATCAAAAAAAAAATATATATATAAGAACCACGATGAAATGATATTGAACGTTGTGAAAAACTTCGATGAAACTCCAACCCTTCTTTACTTAAAACATTACATTTTAAAACATAATTTTTTATGATTATGAAGTGAAATAATATAAATAAAAATTATTTATTTATTTATAGAGATATTTTGTATTGAAGGTAATTTTTATGGATATATTTTTAATGAAGATATTTTGACGGGTCACCAAATATTTTATGGTAGACTACGAAGATGCAGTGATGAATGCAATTAAAAACGCATTTCCCAATACGAAGATTCATGGATGCTTCTTTCACTTAAATCAAGCTGTTTGGAGACAAATACAATACCATGGTCTTGCGAAACAATATAGTGACGATGTACAATTTGCTTTTGCATTTGTACCTGTCGATAAAGTAATAGAATCTTTTGAATTATTATTAGAAAGCACATAATATTATATTGAAAACGAAGAAATGCCACTTCTAAGAAACGTGGATTGGCATTTTGTATAGGAGAGGTAATCGTCGAACTCCATTATTTTCCATTGAAATTTGGAACTGTTATAATAGGTTACAAGAAAGTTTACCTAGGACAAACAATAAGATAGAGGGCTGGCATAATGGATTTCCAGCAATGATAAGTCATACACAACCAATTATTTGGAAATTTATTAAGTCATTAAAAAAATAAGAAAGTTTAAATAAAATGATAATAAAACAAATAATTGTTGGACATGTACCATGTAAAAAAAAATTTAATGATTCATCTATTAGATTAATGCGGAAATGTAAAAATGTAAATAATAATACAATACGCGAGGTTTTGAAAGGTGTTGCTCATAATTTTTATTTTTATAAATAATAAAATTTTATCGCTTTATTTTATTTTTTTTTTGTGTATTTTATAAATAAAAATATATGTATAATATACAATAATAAACTGAAATAACTGGTATGTAATAAATAAAATATAAACATATAATAATAAACTAAAATTATTATTATTATTTAGAATATATAATATATAAGTATATGCGCCCAAATGACCGCGACTAAATGACGGGATACCGGGAAACAGTGACCCTATCAGCTGATCGAGTGTCTATATTACATTTTTTTGTGCTTATACTTACAAAAAATGGTATCAAATTTTGTTTTTTATCAGTGGCTATAGCTTCCATTACTTGAGCTCCCCTTAGTGATAAAGAATCATCACTTTCGATAAATCGCATTTTAACGAGCCCAATGAGACCCGCTTTTTCAACTGATGAATGAGCCTGTAACAAATACATTTTGACAAGTTGTCAAGTATGTGTAAGTATGTAGAATGTGTATACTTTAAAATAATTATTGCTACTACGCAATTTGATTTGGCATGGTGTTAGATTAGATAAATATCTAATAGATATTTAAACCTATTTAAATAACTTGATGAAATAGTAATTAATTACAATATATAGTATAAATATTCAGTGAATTTTAATAAATTTTGATCAAAACAACACATTGCACATTGATAACATTAATTGTCTGCAGTCGATTGACACTACATCATTTGTTTAAATAAATATAAATGCTAACCGAAAATATTTTCATCTATTTAATTTAAATTCAAAAAATACCCCAAAAATTAAATTTTCACTGACTACCTACTGTAGTATAATAAAGTTTAATATTTTAAACATCCTTCCGATTTAAAATAAAGAATATAACCATAGCAGGCGATTTAGGACATTTAGGTACCTGATCTGAACAGTAAGCAACTAGTCTACTGTTTATTTCTACATCTTCTAGTTCTGGATTTATCTCCTGTATCCGACGGATCGCTTGAGTCCTGGCAGCTAACAAGCAAACAAATGTAGCTTCACTTGATGTAGTCTGAAAGAAAATAATGAAAGCGGTTAGGTTGATAATGGAATCAGGGGCGTAATTATGGGGGGATATGGGGGATAGCCCTATTCCCCCCATGAGCTGTATTTATATATTGTCTTATACCTAATTATTACTAAACTAAAAAAAAAAAATGTTTAGTAAGTTGTGTATACTTAAATATTACCAGGTTATAAATATTTACCGTTAACGATAAGCATGATTTCAAAATAAATGGTCCTATTCATTTTAATTTTGATTTATTAATAAACATTGGGTGCCTTGCCACACTCTGCACCTTGTACATAATTTTGAATAGATTATAGATGGTTATTAATCCGATAATGGGAAAATCCACCATTCCTAAACATTATATAATAATAAAAATGTAACTTCAAGATTTACATTTCGTAGAACGAATACCTAGATAGTAGGTACTATGAACGCGCGCTGACACCAAGTATCTAGGTACATTCATGACAAAATAAATAGGTATGTCAGCAACATTCTTATCCGCATATTTCCCACTTTTTACTATGTGTTACGTTCTCCGCTTCTCATTGGTTGCATATACCAAAGCGTTAAGATCGGAGAACCTAATACATAGGAAAAAGTGGGAATGCGCACGCAAGATTTAAAGGCTTTGTTTATTAGACGTGATTTGTTATCAGACGAAGAAAAAAATACCGTAAGCTTTTCCGTAAGGCTAATGCCTTATGTAGGATTTAGTCTGAACTATGTATAGTTAATACCTACCAACATATCATAATATAATATAAATTACATTGTAATTTTTTTTATTATTTTTTGTTAAAAATCTGTAGGTAATTACCAATTTATGGTTACCAAATCATAATTACGTATTTCCATTAAATGAAAAAAACCAAAAAAGAGGTTTAAAATTTCAGCTTAACGAATTAAATTGGCTTATTTATTTGGAAGTTAAGGGTGGTTAAAAGTAATAGCTTTTTGTAAGCATTGTGTTGAATTTGCAAAAAACCGGTGGAATAGGAAATCAACCTTTAAAATATTTAGTTACTGAAGTATTTGATAGTTGGAAAAATTATTGAATATATTAATGTTTTAATTCCTTACATTTTAATATTTTTTTCATTTTAATTTTATTTCCCTGTGAATACATGTTATTATATTGTTATAATTCTAATTAAATGATAGGTATTTCGATATCATTCTGCATTAGCATACCACACATTTTCTGCTTTGTAATCTGATGAATTTTTAAAAATATATTTAAAAAAAGAACCAACAAGTATAAAGACTGAATACAGATAGGTATTTAATTATTTATCAGCTTAAGTCTGCAATTACAAACCGTCTCAGACATAAGAAAGAAAAAAGACGAGATAAGAAAATTTATTCTGAAATTTAATGTAGAAAAAGAAACAAGTGTTGTGAAGAGAATGCGGTTGCCACTAGATCAATCCCTTGATGATGGATAAAATATGCAATAACATTTTTATAAGTTTATAATTTACGATTTTTGGTTATTTTGTTTAATCCGGACTTTCATTAATTCGGACAACCTAGAGCCCCAATTAGTCCCGATTAATGAGGTTCTACTGTATGTMCATTTTCAAATAATTAGACTATTTGTTTGACAGTTAATTTTGAACATGCGCACAACAATTTTTTTTTTTAAATATCATGATTCATTTTTGACTACAAATTATTTTTTTTTGGTATTTTTTAATGAATTTTAGTGGTTGAATTTCTTTTCTAAATCAAAAAATGACCGAGTTATAGCAATTAGATTTTATGTTATTTGCATGGGCATAACAGATTATTATTATTTATTACAAACTACGTATTTTATAATCTATTATACCCATGCAAATAACATAAAACCAAATTGCTATAACCCGGTCATTTTTTGACTTAGAAAAGAAATTCAACCACTAAAATTCATTAAAAAAATACCAAAAAAAATAATTTGTGGTCAAAAATCGATCATGCTATTAAAAAAAAATTTTTGTGCGCATGCGCAAAATTAACTGTCAAAAAAATAGCCTAATTATTTGAAAATGTGTATAATAATGTTTATTAGTTAGCCGAAAAAGCAGAATTGAAATATATGAAGCCTACACATAGTTTTGAGTGTTTCCAATTATCGTAATCACACTGTATATATGTGCACTGTGCAGCACACTCCATGAAATCAGCATTATCAACTGCAAGTGAAATTAAACCAATTAGAAACTGCTTAGGTATTATCGAAAAATACTATGTTTTCTTTAATACACCAAAACGTTAAAATGTTATTTTAACCAACATTGAAAATAATAATGAGGATCCTAAGGTTAAAACTTTAAAAAGATTATGTGCTACACGATGGGTGCAGCGTTATAATGCGGTAACAGATTTCATTGAACTATTTTCATTTGTAGTTGAAACATTAGAAAATATTTCTAATTGGAATAATTCCACTGCAACGGAAGCCAATATACTATTAAAAGCTACAAGTAAATAGCAATTAATAAATATAATTTATTTTATTTTATAGTAAGATATTTTTCCAGTTGTTTTTTTCTTTTGGATTACCATTGTGTAAGTTGCTACAAAAAAAACAAATTGATTTGAGAGAAAAATGTCAGATTAAATTGTGATACTGAATTTCAAAAATTAGTTTTGCTTGCAAAAGTAAGTATACTAAAATAAAGTATATTATTATATGATATATATATATATATATATATATATATATATATATATATGAAAAGAATTATGTTAATATTTGACATTTGTAATAGGAGGTGTCAATAATTATAGATATAAACTTGAGTACTAAAAGAATATCTAAACACAAGTAAATAGAGCAAATCCAGATCCAAATTTAAATGTTGAATTTAAAAACAAAATTAATGAATTAGGTAAATAAAGGTAGGTAATTGCAATCTTTAGTAGGTATACAGAWAAGAACTTTAACATAACTTCTAAATAATATATATTATGTAGATATTCTAAAGTAATTTTAAGTGTTAAAAACAGTATTACAAATAACAAATCAAAGTTGGTGAAGTTAGCAAATAAAAAAAACTCAAATTTAAATATATTTCACAATTAACATTCATGGGATAATAAAACAATGTAAACTTAAAATTATACTTAATCTTAATCTGCACTATATATAAAATATAATTATAAATTACTTGCTAAGTTTATATAATTTGGTTTGTCATGATACATACCTATCTTGGACCTAGATGAATATTGTGGGGAGGTGTGGGTGGTAGACAGATGCCGAAGCAAATTAATATTGAAAATTGAAAACTAAAACTGTAATAAATAATTTTATTAATAGATATTAAAACTGATGAAATGCCTGGAAATACTAGTATGGATTCCAATGTTTTTAATGAAAACAATGGTAAGTACCTTTAGTACCTACTTATTAAAACAATTTACTTCAAATTTGAAATTATAATAAATAATTTTGTTAATAGATACTAAAACTGATGAAATGCCTGAACATATTAGTATGGATAACAATGATTTTAATGAAAACAATGCAGATTACACCGATGAAAATTTTAATATTATAAATGTTATTCACCCTTCAAGAAATGATTTCATTGCTATAAAAATAATTTCTTCTCTACGCATCCAATACAACCTATAATGACTACTAAAGGTAACCTTAATTTTAAAAGAGTTCATTATAAAGAGTCGCCAAATGGCGAAGTGTTTCAAAGAAAATTGATATCTTACTGTATAGAAAGAAATTGTTTATATAGTTCTAATTGTACGGCTTATGGAAAGTCAGTTAATTTTGGAGAAAAATAAGTGGGTATGAATCTGATTACAAAAATGCCATTATCGTGATATAGTGAAACATGAAAATTCAATATTTCATCAGAATTCATCATGTACTGCAGCATGTTTTCAATTAAATAAAGATATTGAGTGCATTAACAATCGTGATGTCTTAGGAAAATGGTCTTAAGAAGTACAAAATCGAAGACAAGTACTTGAAATAGATATTGTTATTTTTATTGGTTGTCAAGGCATCCCATATCGAGGTAAACATGAAGCAGCAAATTCTTTGAAAAATATTTAAGTAAACCATGGTAATTTTTTGGAACTAGTCATGTTAATTTCAAAATATGATACTATTTTAAATCAACATGTTAAAATGTCAATAACTCGTAGTGAAAAACCTAAGACTAAAAAAGGTCGTGGATCTATGATTACATTTATGTCCAAAATTTTTATAAATAATAACATAATTTATTATACCAATTGGAGTAGCAATTCAAGGTACAATATTGTTAAAGAAATTAAAGAGTGTATTAAGTTTACTATAATGATTAATAGAACTCTGGATGTAAGTGTTATGGATTAATTAGCAATATGTGTCCGGTATATTTTCAACGGTGTTGTGCAAGAACGACTATTAAGTTTGGTTGTTTGCCATAACTCTAGTGGTATTGGCCTTTTTAACTTATTAAAAGAAGAAACAAAAAAACTAGGATTAATGTTAAATTCATTGGATGGTGCCGCCAACATGAAAGGTATTTATAATGGTTTACAGGCTCATTTAATAAGTGTAAATCCAAATGTTGTATACACACACTGTATGGGGCATGTATTAAATTTGATAATGAGTGAATGTAGTAATGATATTAATTTGGCTGAAGACATATTTGGATTAGTAGAGCAATCCGCTGTTTTTTTATTAGATTCCCACAAATGAATGGAAACTTGAACATCTATTACTAGTGTAAAACTGGTCACGATAAACTTTATTGACTCCAAAAAATCGGTGCAATTAGGTGGTGGAGTAATGATAAACCTTTATCAACTGAACGTAGTTGAAATTGATAAAGTAGTCGACCTAACCTAACCTAACGCCAAATTTACCACTTTATTAACATTTTTAACCATAGATAATGATGAAATATCAAAATCAGTAAATTTCAAGAAATGTTACAAATGTATTCACTGCGCATTTTTAATTGTACGAGAATTATCATGCCAGTCAAATTTATTTG